TTTCATGTTTGTATCTGGGAGACTGATTTTCCTATGGGTAGCTGTAAGGGCTGGTCATTGTCTCAATTAACGTTAGTCTGCTCAATACAGCAGCTGAATTGATATTTCCCCGGTTTTGTCTGATCAGATCCAGGATGTCATTCAGTCAGTTATTTGGGCCAGAGGTACCTTGTGGGAGGTGTAAGGAGAGTATATGGAGGCTTTTATTTGTAAACTAACAGTTGTGTAGGTAGAAAACTCACAGTGTAGTAGCCTGTCAGAGCGCAGAAAGGTTTAGTGAGGTCTTTTGTGAATTCTTAAAACTGGATTAATTTGTAAATTAGAACACAGTCTATTTGACTCTGGTTTCTACTTTAAGATGAACGCATTTTACCATAATTGAATTACACAATGGATCTCTCTTGGATTTCCTGAAAAGATGAGCACAGTATTATCTGCCTTCCTGTTGTGTCTGAGTATCCTAAATAGGTAGAGCTGGAAAGATACAGGGGTCCCAGTGCCATCCTTCCAGGTTATCATTATTAGTTTTAGTTTGCTAGAAATAGAAGTGTATTTTTGCAAAGTTTTACACTGTCTCCTTCTGACTCTGCTTAGATAATGGTCTTGTGTGGTACAGGGATATAACCTGTTTGGAAATAAGCTTCTTGTGTCCGTCTTTTGTTTCCTTACATAGCTCCTCCCAATCTGAACAGAGACAGGATCACTAGTCCACCTTGATTACTAGTCCTTTTAAATGCGCGGTGTTTCAGCTGTCCTGAGGTTCTTCACTCTGAGTGTTGCTGCTTCCCTGATGTCTGCTATCCATCCCCCTTTCTGCAGAAAGTCAACAAGAATGTTATTGGGATTGAGTGCTCTCACATTGCACTCTCCTGAAATAGAGCTGTAGCCAAACACAGAAGTTTGTTTAAAAAAAAAACTAGCCTTAACTAGCTTAAATACATACAGAGTAAAATCACAGAGTTTCAAAAGTTAAAAATTGTAAAGTATGAAGGTATGTAAGGTATGAATTATATGAGGTATTAATTGTAAGGTATGGTATTCAATGCTATCATATAGCCTGTGTAGTTTAGAGACTATTTCAACTGTTGTCGACAATGGTACTTTTAAAATATTTGGAACAAAGGAAATTAGGAATCTGAGATTATTATCATTAACAGGGCAGCACTGCAAAAGAAACATTACCTTTGAAATTTTTAGATATGAATGTATTTTATTTTCCTATACATTGCTTTTGTAATAAGGAGCAAATAATCCACAGAGAAGATTAGATAGCCTTAAGGTTGTCAAGTGAGTAACGGACTGGTACTCTAGTCTTGAAGAGACCATGAGTGAACCTCTGGCTCTAATTAAAGTGTTACCACTGGCTTCACTGCATGCAATATTACACACACAAGACTGAATCCCTTTCAGCACTTACCCTGAAGCAACCCTGCCAGTTTTTTCCAATGGTGTTGCTGAAAGCAGAATGCAGCCAAGGAAATATAAATAACTCAGTGTTATATTGGATTAGTTTTAATTAACTCATAAGTAAGATAGAGTGCTTCCAGACTTTCGTGATCCTGTTTTTGCAGTTACCTACCAAATTGTCTTTAATTCTCGCATCTAAATATAGTATAAGCAGGCAGAAATATTGGACATAAAATGGCATTAACGCCTTTTTTTGAGGTAACCTACAATGTTGATTATTAACAGCCTAACGTACTCTGCAGAGTGGCTTCATCAGTTCTACAAACTGGCTACATTTGAAGCTGTTAATTTTGTAGTGCAGTGTGCTCCCATAAAAGCAGAAATGAGCGTGTCTTGGCTCAGTTTAGGTAAGAATAACCCATAAGAACTAGAAGTCTGTTTAACTTGAATTCTTGCTTCACAGAAGTTGTGGACATTCCACACAATAGGGTTGGCAAATACAAATAATTTATTAAAAAATCAGAGTAAATTCTTAGTAAAATCATATGATTTGGTAGAATGCCCATGGTTCCCTGGATACCCAAAAAAAGTGAGTGGGTGATTTTTTATCATTATCTAAGAAAGTGACAAATATTTTAAATCTTTAAAGACTATTACTCTCTCAAACAATGCCATAATACATAGAACAAACAGAACTTGAAACATACTAAAATAAACATTTTTAGATATGCTATCCTATATTCTGTCCTATAAATATATGGTGTCATTTGAACTTTTTGCACAAATGCATAGCTTTTTGGTTTTAAAATTGTATTTGACAAGCAAAAAAGGCAATACTTGAGAAAAACCTTAAAAGAGTCATTCTAGCTAATGCATAGCAGTAAGTTTGTTATCAACAAGATGTATTACAATTTAAAAAATGAACTAACAAAGATATCTTCTGTACAGGTTTTTTAAATTCACAGTTTGTGGTTGCTAACTTGTTAGTAGGCTTCAGTTGCTTGAGAAAGCACATACGAGCTCATTTTGCAAAACTGATTATTAGATGAGATGCCCTCTGCCTTTGCCACTGGAGGAATAGCTTTGAATCATGGTTATGTCTCAAATGGAGTTAGCAGCATGATCTCAGTTTGGTACCATTTAGCTAACAGAATTATGGAGATTATGCTAACATAATGAAAAGGTTCTGCTCAGACAAGTGTAGTCCCCTGGAGATAACTGAAATCAATGCAGGACTGTTCCCTGTCTTTGGCTGATATGAAGAGCTAGGTCTCTAGTAAAGTCAGTCTCCATGCTTTTGTCAGAATCACATTATTTTTATAATTTGGCAAAGTTCAACCTAGTGACACAGATGCAATTACAGAGCTGTTTAGATTTGTTGATTCTGGAATATGTTCTCCTTTTAATTATACTTCTTAAGCAGATGTATTTTGCCCGCTTCTGAGGAAATCTGTATTAACTAGGCTAGCTATAGGTAGGGATGATAGAGAACTGAGTCCTTTCTTGTGTCTTACAAAGAATATTGTGTTTTGTTGTAAGTGATTCATGAGGAAACCTAGGAACAAGTCTGTATTATTGATTCTGCAGAATCCTTCCCACCTTCCTACCATTTTTTCTTTTTGATTTATAATATAGATATGTCACTCATATTTATACTTATGAGAAATAATTTTCAGAACAAAAATTGTTTTGTTCTTTCAAATGCAGCCAAGGAGCCATATAGCAGTAAAGAAAAATAAAAATTTTCAGGATGAATCTGTTACCTAAACATGAATTGGTTATTAAAAAGAGTATCGGAATGAAAACAATTCAGTTCCTGTCAATTTTAAGATTTTCAAAAACCCAGCTGTTCCCTAATGTAAATTTCTGTTTATCTACATTATTCTCAGAACACTGTGAAAATCTAGAATATTTTTCTGTGGTAAGTCTTTTATGGATGTTCAGTGGCACTGTAAGTACAGAGAGCATTAGCTCTCAGAATGCTAGACATGTTTCAGGGTCATTTATTTTCTGTTGGTATGTAAGAAATAATTTTGCTTGTGCAGTCAACGACATATATGTAGCATGGCATGTAGGACAGACCAGTATCTTTTTTCCAGTTAAATTTTTTTTTATTTTTAATTTTATTTTTTATTCATCCAATATTTTTCCTGTTTAAAAAAGTTACATAGTTTATTTATTTTCTGTATATGTTAAAACAAATATTCATTTTTTTTAGGGTGAAAAAGGAGATAAAGGAGAACCAGGACCACAAGGCATTCATGGAAGAGAGGTAAACTGAAAGATAATAAAATAGTCAAGTTATAGACTTTCAGGGGGGTGGCGAAGCAATGCAATTAGGAATTTATGGAAGGAGAGTGGTGGATTTAGGAAATGCAAGAAAAATTCATATGAGATATGGGTTCTGAGGCCTTAAAGTTGGATAGGAGAGTTGTAGGTGAGAATATGGTAGGTTCCCTTATATTTCCGTTGGGGGTTCATGAGATAAACTTAAAGAAGTTTGGGGATTAACTATGCATGAGAAAGATTCCTTTTTGGATAATCTGCTGGAAAAGAGGGATTTTTAAAGGCAGAGGGAAGCTAGGCCTGGAGCCGTGATTTAGGGGAAAAAATTCATCATTATGCACTGCTGGATCATTCACTGTGCCATGTGACTCATGCAATAATGAATTTGAGTTAAAATTTCACTTCTCTCCTCTGCCTCATTTCACTGCCAGTTTAGTTAATTGATTTGGTCCATATTTGAGCTAGAGCATAAATATAAGTATAAAAAATCTAGATAATCTTGGTCTTTGGGTTCACATTCAAGCTTGAACCTGAGCTAACATTATAGGCATGCCAAGTAATAATCCTTACTTCTGCCTAACACATTTTTTAAAGGGTAGAAGTAGGATGAGAGGGTAGAATATCCCCATTTTATGAATGCAGTACTAAAATGGTGAACCAGCAAGGTTTGAATAGTAAATTTTAAAAAAAGAAAATCAAGTCACCGTTCTTCTGTGTTCTCCTCCAGTCTCCTGCTTGATCTGGGTGAAGGTCAGTCTGGGTTTGGTTGACTCTCCAGTTGCAAAACATTGCAGCTGAAGTCAGAGAGCATGTCACAGAGGGATCTGAACTTGACTATCTAAATTCTTTTGGGAACAAATGAATTCTAGCCACTGACCAGAAAAGGGATTTGGAAAAAGCCTTCAGTAAAGCTTTTGCAGCACCTTCACCAAAGGGGTGAATGGTTTTGACACCAGCAGGCTGTGACAGTCTAGCTATGCGTATTAAAAATGCAGGCAATGCATGCAGCTATTTGTATTGAGGTATGGATATAGTTTACAGTTTTTAAAATAAACTGCCTATTTATGACACTTTTATGTCATCTGGCTTTTCATGCACACTGTAACTGTAAGGAGTTTTTTTTTCCTGTTCTAGGATATTATAATTTAATGCTAGATAAATCAGGCTATCTTGGGGCAACAGTGGATGTCCTGCATATGAAAATGTATACTATATACTGAGTTGAAACTATGTTTAGGTATTCTCTTGTATCCTGCCTGTCTGTAAAGGTGAACTGTATACTTCTGTCCTGCATACATATATGCTGACAGCATGGAAAAACACATCTGTGTTTCTTTCCATAGCTCTGGGGACATTTCTGCGTTGGTCTTACACGATCTCCTTTACTACATGGGATCTTGTTCCATAAACCTTTTAGGATGAGTACAGAATACCAAGTATCTGGTGAACTCTAAAACATATTTGACATTGTGGCACTGTGAAAGTGTAAAATATCAAACGTCTATTTTTTTGAAATATTTAGCCGGCTCTTGTAATGTGTCAAAATATGGCAGATTATCGTCATAAGAACTGTCTTTAAAACATTTTTGAGGTAATATTACACAAGACAATATAACATACTATATTATTTGAATCCACATATAATTTCTTTTTAGCAGCACTTAAATAAAATGCTTCAGATTCAGTTATCATGTGATAACATGGAGATGCCAGTCATTAGATTTAAATTCAAAGGACTGTGTATCGTTGACTCTTGGTTGCTGTTAGTGTCTCCCAAACTCTTTCCATATACAGAAATGTAATTTGTGATATTTCTGAAATAAGGAAGTTAATCTGCTTACACTGGTTTAATCAGCAGCGTTGTATAAGGAAAGCCGAAAACACATAAAGCCAGTGATATCGGCTGTTGGCAGCTGTTGTCTCACTGCCTGGGGGAGTGAGGGTTTCAGGATTTCTGTACTCTCAAATGAAGAGCTTGAAAATGGTGAATGAACATTTTGTCTTGCACAAATAGTAGAAATATATTTGAATCTATTTAAATCAAAATGAGAAAAGAAAGCATCACAGAAAAAAAATTGTTTTGATTGTTGTTACTTTTTTCTTTTCCTAGCTGTACAGAAAGTTCATGCTAGGAGGAAGTATAATGATGAGAGGGGAAGCCAAATCTAATTGGGAGGCTGTCTTTATGTATTAGGGAAGGGTTGCCCAAAAGGTTTACTTCCCTCATCCGCAGCTGATTGTGCTAACTATCTGATTCAGTTGATGTCATTCAGAGCAAGGTTTGGATGTAGGAACCGTGAATATATTTAACTGCTGTGCACATCTCCCACTTTATCACTCCATTAATCTGAGCCAAGAGGTACATGCTGTATCCCAGCCTGGAACATTACTCAAAATTCATCTGACAGCACAAATACTTACTATAAATACTAGTAATGCTGTTCCCATTGTTTTTGGCTTCTTAAGGAGTAGCTATAAATAACTTGCATTACCAATGTAGTGCTTCTGTGGTATGTTCGCATTACATCTGTAAGCAGCTGTTTACCTACATAATGTAAACCGTAATTTGCTTGAGTAGTATCTCTGAGTTTTTTCCCTTGAGATTTTTATAGCCTCTTGAGATTAATAATGCCATAATTTTTATCACCTTAGAAGTGGATCTTCATGGACATACTGTTTGAAGAAACTCCCATGCATATGATTACTTCTCCAGCACACTCATATTCCATATGAAATAAGGACACACTTGCAGTGTAAATATTCATGAAACTATTTGTGGACTAAGATCTGTGCGATAAACATGCTATTGTCAGTTGATTTAGAATTGAAAGAAACTCTTAATCATTGCAATTCCTGTATTTCTTTTGTAATCAGGTCAGTTTTTTGATCTGTGGTGTTGGTAGGGGAGTGGGATACTACCAATTAATTTTTTGCTGACATAAATGAAATCCTGTGGCATAAGTAAGTGAAAACAGAAAGTTTTGTCATATTGATCAACTTGAGTCATACATAGCTAGCAGAAGAATAGTGTCTTTTACGTAAACTGTGATTTAAAAAAATCTTTAAAAGATAATCTGAAATGAAAATCTAGTGCACAATAGCTACGCAATTAAGACAGCTGATTAACTAACTGGATATATTTCCTTCTTCTACAAGGAAACATGCTGCCCTAAGTGTCTTTTTAAAAACATTGTTACATAAAATAATTTTCTTTATATACCTCATGACACAGGACAAACCTGTGAAGTTCAGTGAGCTATCAAATAAAAAGCAGTTTTTCGATGGAAAGAAGATAAAATATACACATTTTAGGCCTTTTTATTCTTACGCTTGTCAGAAAAGATGAAGAAAAATATTAACATTTTCAAAAGGAACAAGTGTCTTGCTTGCTGTAACAATAGTTTATATTCACACCCTCGTGGTCTCTCTGTGATTCTCTAATCTTCATATCAGCATGGTAAAGAACTGTTTTGATGGGACAAGACGAAGCCCATAGCTTGAAAGTAGGAAACTGGTTATGATACTTAATTATCATTAAGTAGAGTTTGAAAATTCTATTAGGAGCACAAGCATAAGGAACTAGTAGGCATTGCTCGGACACCAGAAAATCCTAATAGTGGAGCAATTTGAAATTTTTGAGTGACATTAACAAGAAAAGACCAATGGCAATGTTTAGAAATACACAAGTTATAAACTGAAAAAGAATACGTTACGTGGAGTTTTGAAAATACTTTTCTAAAAAAGTTATCCCGTATGACACATATAATAGTGTTGTACAGCTGGCTTTGAAGCTGTTGTTTTAATTTAGATTGTATGTAGTACGCATGTATGTAGTTCTATGGAAAAAATGTAGGTCTTCTGTATTACTCAGTAGAGTATTTCCAAGCTTTATTATGCAGTAGGGATTGCTGATTTGGTCCATGATCTGGTTTCACATTGTTGGCTACAACGTGTTAGACTGTTTACTTAATTTTCAGTACTTTAGATAACGTGTGTTATAGGAGATTAAGCTGAGGAAAGATTGAGCCAGTTTACAGTAATGCAGGGTAGGGAATTTAGGTCAACAACTATGTGCAAGTAAGTTTGAAAATACTTTCTGCATCCCTCAATAAAAATAATTGAAGATACTGACCAATACTTTTCTTCTCCAAACAGTTCTCTTTTGGATTGAAAAATCTATTTTCAAAAGATTATGTCAATCTTACAACATTATTCATTGACATACATATGTGGTGTAGCATTCATTGCACAAATAAACACATTTCCAGTAGGCAATACTTGGCTTTTGTATGAGCTGCTTGCATTCTTTCATTGGGATACAGCTGATCTTACCATTTTTTCATTGTGAAGAGCTCCTGCTGTCAGCTGCTGGCACATTTTACCTATTTTAACTACGTTCTGTGATGATGTGTAAACACTGCTTGCTACTCTATCTCTGAGAAAAAATTCAATAGTTTTGAATAATTTTCTCAATGCTCTGTGAACCTGCTGGAGTATATTAAATCAGAGTTCATAAAGTAAAGCATTAGGAAACCAGGGGCATACTTTACTTGGAGAGAACATTTAACGTAACACTAACATTTCTTCTAATGTTCCTGACCTCTAGAAAGAGAGTTTTTGTATTGATAAGTTTATGCAAAACTAACAATTAATTTATTTTAGTGCTCTTTTCACACCTTTCTGATCCAATTCATGTCTGACATTATGACAAATATATTTTCTCAGGGTGAGAGGTTAATGGACTTCTTAGATGTTTTCCAGCTGTAGATAAGAAAGTAACTAATGGCAGCTGAGAAAAGGCTGTAGGTCCTGTCTTCTCACACTAGCGGTGAGGTTTGTGTTGCAGCTGATAGATCTGTCTTTTCATCTCAGTACAGATGAACTGCTAAACAGAATCCTAAGTCTTTAAAGCCCTTGGTCCCACTGGTTCTCCAGCCCATATAATCAAGTTCTCTGTTGCCAGACAGTGCAAACCTGGTAGCTCTTTAAGAGTTTCGCTGAAAGCTTACTCTACCTTTCTTGAGGCTTCTGTGTTGGCTCCCAAAGTAGCTTATTGTCAGTCCACTGCTGAAAGTCCTCCTTGAACCTCCTTGGCCTGTCATTCAGATCCCCCTATTTGGGCTGTAAACTTTTTATCACAGTGATTGGAAGCTGCTTGGTCTCAGCTGGAGAGGTATCTGCTCATTAAGCCTATTGTACCTTATAAACCAGCTGGATATCACAGTGTCGAGATAAAAGCAATGGATGAATCTGCAAAAAAATATAGTTTACAGAAGCAGACTCCTTTAAATTACAGGATGCTTTCCCCATGCTGTGAAAGTACTAGCACATGTATTTCTCTTTTAATGTAACCTCTGCAGGATATATGAGAATACTCATAAATGGTAGTTACTTTGTTCACATTGCTATTGTCGTTTAACTGGCAGGTTAGATGATATTGCTATAGGCTAGAAACCTAAACAGCTACACAGTGTAGTTTCTGAAATACTACAGCCATATGAGATATGGATTACAAACACAAGTAGCAAGCTATGAGTCCTCTGTTCTCTTCATCTTCTGTGCTTTTTGCTAGTGATGGTAGTAGTACTGGTTTGTGGATCTTCAGGCTGTCACGAAAGAATTGTCATTAAGGCTACTTGGCTTAGGGGAGAATGTTGTTCTATTCCCTTTTCTTTCAAAATCTTTGACTATTCTAATCTTATCCAAATGACTGAAACCATAGAAACTGAAAAGCTGTTTAGTTATTTGGCTTCAGTAATACCTGGCACTTCTTTTGAACGAATACGAAATTCTCAAAGTTGGTGAGGAACTTATCCATCAAATCACTAAGTAAAGTTATTTGTTCTTTGCCATGGAACTCCAAAGCACGGTATGCTTCATGTGAGACTGTCCCTGGTTTAAAGGGAAAATTCACATAGTAAAGCTGTTGTCTTTTATGCCAATAGGTCGTGGGGCACTATTAATAAATCCCATAATTTGAACAATTCATGAAATCAAGACCTTTTTTAGAGTTTTAAAGCACAGTCATTTTTTAACTGTTGTCTTCTTTTCCTAATGCAGCTGATTTGGTAGGCTGACTTCAGTAAACTACTATTGGAGAAAAATCTAGTTGAAGATTTGTCAAAAATACAGTGTCAACCAATATGACAACTTCTCCTTTAAATTGCTTCCACCAGAAGAAATGCATGGTTGTACAATAAGCCAGGGGAGAATTTAGATCCTCAGTCTAATTTAGTTATGGTAAACCTCTTGATGGCAGGTGGCTGAGTACTGCAGATAGAGTAAAGCCTTGCTGTTGAGGAAAGGAAGAGGCAAGGTGATGTTATAGAAGTACCCTCCAGGTGTCCCCTTCCAGATGTTCCCTTGTTATTGCTAAGGGCACTGCCAGTATTCCCTCATCCACACCAGGGAGAACATGCTAGGTCCCTCCCAACCAGAGCAGAGTGACAGACATCAGTACAGCGGAAACAACAGATTTATTGTCCTGGTCCAAACTGTGGTGATAAGGTGCGGGGCTGTTCAGCATGTACCCCAAACAGCCCGAGTCACATGATTTGTAACCCCCTACAGTCCCTTTTTCCCCTCCCAAGTTCTTCCCCGCTATCACCATCATCTCCTTCCAAACAAAGAACCTGCCCCTAGTTTACTCTTTACCCTGTTGGCCCCAACTTGGCTGTAATTTCTCCCTTGATCAGCAATTTTGTTATGCTAGTAACACTGCCTTGTTAAATATAATGTTTCTCTTTTTGGCCATTTCTCATGTTATGGTCTTGCTAATGCAGCTAGTGGTTAAAGTTGGCCTACTGCATGTATATCCTCTATGGAATCCATAGAGGAACCTCAGTGTAAGTTTATTTTGACCTATAGAGAGACCAAGCTGTAGTGTTTACAGAGGAGGAAAAGGTACCAGTTGAAGACTATTAATAAAGAGGTGTAATGAGTTCCTGAACTCACAAGTGTGTATTATTGTGTTGCCCCGTAAAAGCTAGAATTAGAACTGGATGCAATTCCCTAATTCATTTACCCTTTCTTATGAGAGCTGCTAGAATTTGCATTCAGTTCTTGAAATTCTGGCAAATCTGATAAGACTCCTTTGATCAATAGGAATTAGTTTGTTGTTTTCAAAACTGACCTCTTTCTCTCCTAAAACATTGCCGAAAATGAGCTTTTCTAATTTAAAGCATCATCTAAAATCATCCAAATTATATTTGTTGAGATAACCACATTGATTCTGAAGCATCCTGTTCTGGTCTCTGCCAGAGACAGGATGCTGTACTGCACTGTACTAGAAGGGACTACAGATTTGACTTAGCAAATGAATTCTTATTTCTTATGTCATTTCAGAGGCAGTCAGCAGCAACTAAGCCTCTAATCATCTTTAGAAGGGTGGCTGTAGGGAAGAACGGGGATGATATGGTACCAGATGTGTTTTTCCAGGCATTCACTATGTCTGGAACTTATTACATTTTTAAAAGATAAATAATATCTAGAAGAACAAGACATACTTCTTGTGAGTTAACTTTTTAAGGATTTTTTTCTGCTACTACTTCTCTATTTCTTGGGGATATAAACTGCAAATGAAAGCTAATTCAAGTATTTTTAAATAAATGCATTGTGTAAAAGCCGTTCTGAGTTTTATAAAATCCTGCTTCAAATTCGGTAAGGTTTGTTGTCAAACATGTAGTTTCCCATTGTCCTATTTGTGTGAGTTTGACCTCTGTGGTCATTATCTCTGCAGTAGCTGTCAAACTACATACCTCACTGTGGTGCACTGCAGGAACATTAGTAAAATCGATAAACATACCAATTAGGAAAAAATGAAGTTCATAGTTAGACAGTGCATGGCTTGGGTTCAATATCTTTTGCTTGCTCTTGTCCTTTCTGTTCTCCCCCCCTGTAAGTTGCAGGTTTTTTTTTTTGTCTTCCTTTGTTTTTGATCTTCTGTAAATCTACAGCCACAGAACTTAAACTTATTGTTCTACTGCTAATTCTCTAATATTGTTGATTCTGAACCAGATGTATTCAGTGGCAAGTAACATGGAAACTCCTGAGACACCTGAAATTGCTTTTCAATATATGGAGTAAGGAAGTGAAAAGTAAAATGTAGTAAATGGAGACAGTATTAAAACTAAGTCATAAATATGCAGCTCTTAAAAGGAAAGCAATTTTTTGGCTTGTTTTTTGGATCCATCTGCCTATTACATTTTTTAAAGTTCAAACAGCGAAACTACTTCTGATTTAACTCTTACATTTTTGGCAAGCTTAATAAAGGACAAATCAAAGCTAAATCAGAGGTATTTACAACAACCACAAATTTAAGCCAAAGTGGGTACTTAAATGCTCATACGGTTCTAAATGATGTTCCTTCCAGATGGTGAATTAATGTAATTTTAGCAGGAAGTGAAGTTGCACAAATATGCAGTATTTAGAACACTCACTGATTTAATGTTTCTGTACCCACCAAGGCACAGATGTTGCTTATCATTTTCATGCCGGTTGTCTCTATCTTTCCAATTATTACAAAGCGAGGAACAGAGTTTGCAAAGGCAGACAGGGGGCTGGGAAGAACTTCAGTAAGTATAACCCAATTCAAGTTCTGTCATTCTTCTCTATCTTCAGTCCACTTAACCTCTGCAATAGTAACCCAGGTGGCCTGCTTGTGGAGTACCTCATAATGACTTGGTCCTCTATTGCCTGCACTGGTTGTCAGTTGGTTTCTAAGTAAAATGTTTTGACCTATAGATCTCTCTTTGGCTTACATCTGTCCATACTCTCCTTTGGCATGTCTCTAAAGCAGTGATCAAAGGGAGTACATAAGACAGATCCCTTGGCTTAAACAAAAAGTAGTTCCCTTTTGCATGTATTTCGCAGCAAGGAGAAAACAGCAGGGATTATTTGGTAATGATGAGGGCATTTCTTTCTTGAATGTTTGTGGTGAGACACGCTAGTGGAATTGCTGTATTGGTGAATTGCTGCATGTTTAGTGTAAAAAACTAGGTAACATTTTCTGCTTCTCCAGCTGAAGGCAGAACAGTGGAGGGAGGTGTGAAGGACTTGATTGTTTCTGTCTAATTCCCTTTTCAAACACTGGAGGAGGTGCTGCCTGCTGCCAGCTGTTGGAAGTCACCCGCTCCGCGCTGGTAACTGCAACATGCGATCCCCTGCATTCTCTGTCTACCTCTCCCTATTTCCCTATTTTAACAGAGTTTCAGAGTGTAGTGTAGGACTCGTATTCTTTTTTTTAATCCTTGTTGACCATGCAAGATGCATACCTAGTGGGACTACCAGGAAACTTTCCATTTCTGAATGCTACTTGGCATAATAGGGCACAACAGACTCTGTCTGGCTTTGTGTGTTTTAATTACGTGTTGAAGACACATGCAGTCTTGGATGGATGTTTCTCTGCTCACAAAATAATGGGAAAATAGTTACAATATGGTAGTACTCATATTATGCTAATATTTTAAGACTTACTCGTTAGTATATGCTAATTCACAGCAGTACAGAATTTTGCCCAACACTTTTCATGGTCAACAAGAAATACGCATTCTTCTTCTTTGCACAGGGATTAAAAGGTGACCCTGGTAATCCTGGTGTGGCTGGTCCTAAAGGAGAAAAGGTACTTATTGCCCATAAAGACGTATGTATATGTATGTGTGCATGACGTATCTTCAGTACTTGCACGTTGCCGTAACTACGTGTATGCGATGAACACCTGATGCTGACATTTGTCTAATTTAAGGGTTGAGGAATATAAATACAGGCTAACTTCAAATACAGAGAGCAAGTACTGTTATCACCACAGAAGGGAGAGAATCTCCTTTTCAGGGGAATTCAGAGCGGAAACATAACTTACGGTTTTGAATTGCTCTCTGCGTACTCTGATTTGTTCCCATCGGCTGAACCTAAAGGTCTCACAGCAAGATTCAGACCTCAGGTATCTAACTCTGTGAATATTTACATGTTCATCTGTCTTTACATGTGTGAGGAGTTGCACTGATTTCAGTGGCCATCTTAGGCATGAAAGCTGCAGTGTATAATTTAACATATGCAAATATGTTTGCAGGACTGCTTTTTGAATTGTGATTCATTTGTACAGAGGCCTGCCTTTTTCTTCTGTTTAACCTGCAGTGAACTGCTTACATCTATGCTATTATTGTAGAAAATATTACTTTACTCATATATTTTCATAATTAGAGAATGCAGCTGATGATTATACTAAATTTACTTATGTTGTGGTTCATATCTTCTAAAAGGCACAGAGGTTAAAAACATGTAACTAAAGAGACTGCTGATTTCTCTACCCTCTTTTTTTCACTAGGGAGATGTAGGACCTCCAGGACCAACTGCCTTAAGCGTAAGTATCTATAAAACAAAAACAAAAGAAAGGAAAACACTTAGAAATTTGGCAGCTTATACTTATTCGCAATGCAAATACTGTCATTATTAAGTAAAAGAGCCAAGTCCCTCTCTTTACAATGCCTCTACGTTTTTGAAATTAATTGAGAAGAAAAGAAAAGGAAAATATATAAATATAAAATTGTATATATTGTATATATATACACACACACATATATACATATATATGTTTATATTTTATATATACAATATACAATATATAAATATACATGCACTTATTTTCAAAGATGAGAGAGCTGCTCACATAAGAATAATTTGGGTAGATGGGATCAGACTAGCGGGAGGGGGGTTCACGTGCTTTCTGCAGCTGAGCTCCATGGCACAATGTTTGTAGGCAGACTGGAGGACTTCTGTGGTAGCCAGTCTTGGAATAGCAGTAGTGATTGCTTCAGATAATTAACAGTTTGTATTATCATATCTTCTTTTGTTCAAGTCTGTCTATCTAACGTAACTATACAGTCTTGCTACTTATATTGTTGTCTGTTTCCTTATGAAGATAACTATGACTTTTTTATTAGTTTTCATTATTATAGTTATAATAGTTATCGTTAGTTATCATAACAGTATTTTCGTTTCACCTTCAATATGGCATACAGGTTTGACTGCAGTAAATTGATAAAAACAGGAATTTACATATCTAAATACTATTCCAGAGGAGGGAATGAAGTCTCCATTCTCTGTGGAATACTTAACAAAATATTTTAAACCAGGAGCATTGATTTCTGCTTTTAGGTGCAAAATATATGCCAAAATCTTTGATCGTGCATTTTTTAGCCATTATAGTTAGATGGTCATGATATAAGATGAGTTGATTGTTTTTACCGGTTCCTGAAAAATACAAAAAATGTTTTTGCTTCGTATAATAGTATCTGTGTAAATTTCAAAAAAATGTTCTAAAATTGTGAATTTTGAATAACTGCTTTCCTGTCTGAACCAGGTGATTGTAGCATATTAGGGAGAAATTAGCTGCAATCACGTAACTATTTGAGAGTTTATAGGTTAAAATTTGGAAATTAACCAAGGTACCATACAACTCTGTGAGAAATATAATTTGATTGTCTTTGATGAAACACCTCAGATGCTTTGGGTTCCTTGCATTACATTATAATGCTACTACCGATAATAAAAATAATAAAAATAATTGTAATAGCAACTTAATTATACAGCATTTAAGATTTGCCTGATTTAAAGGAGAAATGTCTAATAATAGTTGAGAAAATCATTGATCAGTTTGAAGAATTCTCTATCTTAAAAAGAGATTGCAAAATTCTTTTCTCACAAGTGTTTGATCACCTATACAATGTTGTTATCTTATATAATGATCAGAGATGCATAACAGGCCTCAGAAAGAAAAAAAAAGTGTAATATTAATAAAGATGGAAAATCACTTTCTCGATTCTTACGAAGAGATATTTCACTAATTTAGTTTCTCTTCTTGTTTCTACAATTCTAAAAAGAAAAAAGAAAAAGAGAGAGAGTAGACAGATACCTACCTTTCTTTTTCATAAAAAAAGCTAGTGATCAGAAAGCATTTTGCAGGCTATGTGTATCAGACTTGGGAAATCTTGCAAGTTCTGTTCAATTATTCAGTTATTTTGTCATTCCCTTTCTTGTAACCGACTTCCAAAAAAGAATAAGTGAGGTCATGCATGATGATCAGTTGTCTTCCAGGTATCAAGAAAAGTTTTTCTGAGCGTGGGCCTAACACAGTTTTTTTATGAGGATCTGATAGCTGTGCACTAGAAAGAAAATCTGGACAGTTTCACGGCCTGTGTATTTCTTGCATTCTAGCTAGATATTGCCATAGAGATGACAGAAGGTGGTTTTAATTTATTTAAATAATCTGAAGTCCCCAAAGCATGTACAAAGCCTACAGGTAAATGCTCCACAAAACTCTCCAGGGCAAAATTTGCTTTGTAAAAGCGGTAAGTTCTGTCCAAATTCAAGTAATTTTATTCACAAAATAAAATGAAAAGGCCTCTCAGTAAGGACACTCCATTTAGGTGAAAGCAATTCAGAGTGATGCAGAACAACATGGTAGAAATGAAAAGAAACGCAAAAGCTCCTGAATTCCCAGGCTGTAGCTCCACAGCATGACCAGCTCTTCCCCCACAGTCAGTGTTTATGAACTAATTCTATGTGATTCCTGTTGCCTATGTAATCCTACACAGTCTTCATAGGAAGAGCTCTTATTCATACAAGATATTCTGTATTTTTTCATTCTGTTCATTTCCAAGAACATGGCAGCAAGGCTCTCCATCAGGTGTTACAAACATTGAAGGATATAACCAGAAACCCATTCAGTAAAAATAAATTATATTCTAAGATTCCAAAATTAGATCAGCATAGTTTATTGTACTCTGTTTGGGATTAGGAAATCCAAATATCTTGATTTCCAAGTGAGAAACTAGTAGTGTCCCAGAATAGATGTTCATGCTTTCCTGGAGATAAAACAGGGCCAATTATGCCCTTAACAGCTCTTTAATATACAGTCAAAGTACATGTTGAAATCATCATTAATGGTGAAGTATATTTATTAAACAACCCTTGATTCTAGGGCTGTTACTGCAGTAGGTTTAGAGTAGATCATGCTTCAAATAGATTCTTACAGGCCTTAAAGGAGTCACTAGAATAGAAATATGATAGTTTTGAGGATATGACACAGGAAGAAGAATAGAGGATGTCTATTTTTTGTGTATTATAGGATCACTGTATGGTCCTTTTGAATATTTCTTGTGTAAATGACAGAAAAATGGCTAGGTCTGTTCTGACAGCGGCACCTGGATATGTTAGGCCTGTTTCTAGAGGATCTGAATGCATATTGTTTCATTGTTTTCAGCTGCTATTGTGGGCACTTGGCATTTCTAAAAGTCGTATTCAAAGGTTAGTAACTGGACACTGAAAATCAGAAGCTGCTTTTGAATTGGCTGAACGTACTCTTTCTGTAGCTTAAATGAAACACACTAATAAAAGGGATTGTCAAAGATTTAAATTTATTTGAATTTAAAACAGTGTGCAAATATTTGAGATCAGTTGATTCGAGCACAGAAAGATGGCACTGCGTTGGTACAGCCACTGATGATTGTGTTCACGCTTTTTAAAAGGAAACATTTAAATCTTGCAAAAACTGATGTGAGTCTTCAGAGAGATGTCAGTACCCAAAAGACTGAAACATTTCTGTGTGGCTATTAACTGAGGGAAGAGACAAGCATGAGGGTGAATTAGTTTAGCAATTTGAAGACAGATTACAGCACTGTGGGAATATAAGGCCCAGCAGGAAGTCTTTCTCTCTGCCACTGTAATTAGCCGTGGATTTCTGTTGGCTAGAAATAAAAGAATATGAATGACATGCATGATGGTGGATAGGGGAAAATCCAATCTTCTTGTATATATTGTATATATATATTCTGAGTTTGCTTATTTGTGTGACTTCTGTGTCATCATGATTTTTATGATACATAATAATAAAGGGAAGATATCTTATCTTGCCATAAATGAGTAATAGGTCAGATAATATCATGGTTACTATGTCACTGAATGAGAGCTTATTATGTCAGAATCAGTCAGCTTGTTACAGCCAAAATGTGACATCAGTCTTTCAGTTATGAGCCTGGTTAAATCAAGAGTTTTAAAGTCCTCCATTTATTTGGGGCTCATGCGTAGTGTCATAAATTTATCCTATAGTTGGAATCACTTTTAATTTGTCCTAGTGAGAAAATGAACTTTTTCTTTTTATAGAAATGCAAAATGAATTATTATGTTGGAAAGGGAGAGAAGTGAAAAGAATGATGCACTAACGTTGATGGAGCTAACTCTAAACTAACTCGCTATCGCTCTCCAGGTTTGGGGAGGGAGGGAATATTTAAAGTGTCTTGCTTGTGCTCATACTGGAAGGCTGAGCCTGGCTCATCTACCTTCCACCCCAGTGCAGAGGGTGTATTGAGACAGCTGGGAAACGATGCCATTGCAAAACTCTGCTGCCCTGTGCCACTCTTCCCCTCGTACTTCCCCAGAAATCATACACCACTGAAATAAGCTGGGGAAGGTCCAGCATCCTGTGTTTTAGAAAGTGTTCAACTGGCAAATACAGCCATTATAGTTTCTGTAATGCATAAAGGATACTCAGAGGTAGTACGTATGGCAGAAGTCATGAATCCCCGCAGCTGTAACAAACTATCAGGTGAATGAGCACGTGCCAAACTATGTAAAAGGGGAAATAATACTACTGCTTTTGGAGATACAAAAATAATTTAATCTGTTTGAAAAGCAAATTTCATAGCTCAGAAATACATTGCTCTGGCAAAACCTTAGTGCTCTGAATATCCTTGTCCAGTTTCATATGATTTAACAGAAAACCTCTATCAGAATCCTTAAGCATGCACTCTTAATAAAACTTTTTGCTTGCAGCAAAAGCAAAGAAGTCAGAAAGAAATTAATAAGCAGACACCTGACCATATATTTCCGAAGTAAGCAGAGCTGGAATTAGAATTGCTTGTGTTTCTTTATGTTTCTTTAAGGCAAATATGGAAGGTCTTGCTAATATAATTTCATCTTTCTCAAATGATGAAATCAGAGAATCTAAAAAGAAACAGCATGGTAATGCAAAATACACTAAGCTGCAAAAAGAAGTATATGAACAAATTGTAGGCTCTGTGTAGAATCCTGTTGAAGTTAGTAATCACAGGGAGTTTTAAGTTTATTCAATTCATGCATTTTTCATACAAATGCATTTGACTGTCTCTGATCACCAACTTTGACATGTACATACATATCTGAGCACTTTTAATAAAGATTTGAAGTTTTTATATGTTTCCATGGGGTCAGTTGCCCTGCATGAGTTGATAAGCGTATGCATTTTCTGTCCGCAGTTATGGGAGTAGTCCAAAGTCAGGATTGCTATTCATCCTTTATTTATGCTGCCTTTCATTTCTTTGATAT